AAATAGTATCTTAAAACTATATGTGTGTTATTAAGCTTTTACCGTGATTATTTTGGACGAGTTATTGTGAATGAGCTGTATACATATAAAAAGTTGACATTGGCTTTGAGTTTGATGACTGGCATAATGAACGCGAATTTATGTCAAGAAATGCACAAACCCGCCAAGTAGTACTCGATAAGGAATCACCTAAAGTTTTATTAATTATTAAATGACCATTAAATCATAATCAACTACGGGAAGCAGTAGTAATGTAAAAGAGTAGTGAAAACGTTATAACAAATTTTGAAAATACAATTAAAATGATGGGCCAGTACTAAATCATATAATAGGCAAACATGTAGTGACTTATGTACTTATGACTTTGGCCTCAATATTGTGATATCAATACTTTTTATTAGAGGAATACACAGCACTCCTGTACTTGGCGTAGTTTTTTACACGTAAGTGTTTTTTGGGGGTTATAATAACCGTTGTTGCCGTTCATGCTGCCTTCTCACTTTTTCCCAATAATGTTCCAGGGATGTTAGCGCCGTCAAGTTAAATACGATACTTTGTAATATGCACTTGTAAAAATAGTTATTCAGAAATTGAAAAATTTGCCAAGCTTCAATTTTTGTCTTTGTGAAATTGTCTCGGTGTATCATTGCAATGATATATTTCAAATATATCTCTAATGACATTGTTATTACTAATATTTCGCGGGCTATATATGTATACAGGGTTAGTCAGTAGAAAGGCACCAGCAGAAGTTAGCAGCAAGTGGCTGACACGGCAGTGTGGCCTCTTCAAAAAATAACATGTAACTGTGACCGATTCCCATAAGCGCAAACTGACAGTTCGCATAGCAATAAGGTTATTGAAATATTTCAATAACCTTATTGCTATGCGAACTGTCAGTTTGCGCTTATGGGAATCGGTCACAGTTACATGTTATTTTTTGAAGAGGCCACACTGCCGTGTCAGCCACTTGCTGCTAACTTCTGCTGGTGCCTTTCTACTGACTAACCCTGTATACATATATAGCCCGCGAAATATTAGTAATAACAATGTCATTAGAGATATATTTGAAATATATCATTGCAATATAATATCCCCCAAAAAACACTTGAAATAATTAATTAATATTGGAATGACAAAATGTAATATCAGTTAAGATTTATTTTCACAACAAATTGCAGTTAAAATAATGTAAAGTTTAAAATATTCACAATTTTGATATTTCCAAGTAATGATCACAACTGCAATTCTGCAATACAATGCTGCAATTGATTTAAAAATCAGTTAATTGAAATGTTTTTATAGCAAAAAATCTGTTGTGAAAATAAATCTTAATTGACATTACATTTTGTCATTAGAATATTAATTAATTATTTCAGTAACCTAACTATTGAAATATTTCAATAACCTTATTGCTATGCGAACTGTCAGTTTGCGCTTATGGGAATCGGTCGCAGTCACATGTCATTTTTTGAAGAGGCCACACTGCCACACTGCCGTGTACTGCTACCAGTAATATCTGATGGGAAATCGGTGACACTTATACCACATGTAACACCACGTAATAATACAGTTTGACATCAGGTGAGAATGGAAAGAAGAAATTTAAATTGCGACAACTTATTATTCGACATTCTTGTGTTGAGTAGGTAGTACAAATTGACAATACAAAATATTTACACGCTTATTTCGTAGATATCGTTTAGACACAGATTACATATTTAATTGAAGTAAAGGACTCCCGTAAAGCTTGCACGACAAATGCAATTACACCAGAGTCCCTTTTACGGGTGTGGCTTACATTCGAATATATGACTATATTTCCTCATTTACTATAAACACATACATCCATACATAGTATACATAAGTTGTCTCTTTGGTAGTGCGCACAAAGTACATTCCTCGCGAAAGTGGCAAACACAGATCGCTCAGGGCTTGCTTACATTTCATGTAAAACGATCGAGCAATGAATGAAGCTTTAGTATACCTGTATCCGTGATTCGTGATAAAATTCGAAAAGTAAAAGAAAATGGTAACTTACACGTTGAGATTGACTCAAGAAAACGGGGCGTACTCAGTAATATCTATAGAGCTGCATGAAGGAACGTTCGACAGATTTATTTGTTGCAATCTACGCAAAGAATAGGGAAAAAGTATGATCGACGAAAGGGGTTGCAAAAAGAATTTAATAAAATACATTGAAGAAAGACTGAGAAAAGGATCGTCCCAGGGCAATAATTTAAAAGTGAAACGCGTACGCGCGTTTAGCTAGACTCTTTACACATTAATAAATAAATAATAACGTCGATAGAGCTTCTTGGACAATTGCGTCTCGCAGCATATAAATACAAACGTTGAGATTAGATTAGATTGGATTAGGTCGATCTTCCGAGGCCCATTTTTAATTCGCGTATAAATCCACCTTGCATTGGCTGATATCTTAATCTTAAATTCCATCTCGCTCTCTATTACACCTATCTAGATTCTTATTCCATACGTATATTACCTTTGGTACAATTTTTCGTCTTACTGACTAAAAAGAAAAAGGAAAAGAGAGAGAAAGAAAGAGCCAGGAGAAACAGAAAGATCATAAATGTTCCTTGTGCTCTGGGATGTTACGCAGCTACACCCAAATTCACAATCTCATTATACTTAAATGTAAAAATAGTTTTCATAATCTGCATAGGACGTCGTCGTGACGTGTTTCGACGCCAGAGGCGTTGTCGGCATGCTCAGCGGAAGTTGCTGAACGCGCGGCAACTGCAGTTGCGGTATCTGCGAGGAATGGGGCACGACTATGCGCGATTGTTGCACTATTGAGCTTAGATTGTTGTTTTTGCTATGATGATGATTGTTGTTATTGTTGTTGTGGTGATGATTATTATTGTTGTTGTTCTTCATAAGATTGTGATGGGGTTGACGAGCTGCATGAAGATGAAGCCTCGACATGGCCATTGTGATGCTTGAATCTGACGTCCACACACTCTGCAAAATGGCAATTAATTAATTAAATTATTTATTCAACTGTCATCGTCCTTACTACTTAACAAATAATCATTATTGTTATATTGTATCACAATGCCACAACACCAACCTTCCTCCTGTGTGGGTTGAAGTCCGGATTACGACGTATACGAAGATATCTGTCAGAGCTGCTCCATCTTTGGGTGACTTTCAGGGGCGAATCGTCGGGGTGCAGCTTTCTCTGGTATTCTTCGCCCTCGCACCCTTCGTACAACGAAAACTGCTCCACCCTCTCGGTCGAGCTGTAGCAGGTCAACAACATCTGGATGAGCTCGTCCACCGTTGTTTGTTCGGAGACCAGGAGACTCTTGTACTTGGACTGTAAAAGCAATTATCGAAATTTAAGGCTGACCCACGAAAGGAATTTCAGGCGGCGATAAGAAGAGACGTCTAGACATAACAAATAGTGAAGAATAGTTAACGTTGGGATCCTTTAGACATGTTCTTTGTCACTGTTATTTTAATACTTATATATTTTATTTCAATACTGTACGTTATGTGACTTCTTGCTTTTATCCCAGTTTTTTAAATTCATCCTCGAACAATAGACCGATCTGACCTGGCACGTTCACAACCGCAATTGCTCTCATTCAAGGACAATCGCCGAGACGGATCGTGACGCTATTAACTTTACTAGTCGCTTTGCGATAAGTCCCAAGAGACAATAACAGAATGAGGGATATCGTGAATTCACAATAGACGATTCTTGCGTTATGTTTATTTTCACAGACACCCCGCAGTGCCATCACACGCAGCGTGTCCAAGCTGACGTACGACTTTCAATGTTTGTTGTAGTTGCCGCAACGCGACTCCACTGTGCCGTCGCAAAGGAGTGAAAATTCACAGTACAAAATGTCGAAATTGATCCTTCTTTCCCCTTCACAAAAAAAAGAAAACTTTCACAATCACTCACCCCAGACATAAGGGCGCTGTCGTAGATCTTAACAAGGCCACCGGGTCTAGTCTGAAGTGAAAATCTGCAAATAAGAAAATCCACGTATCATCCACTAAATAGCAAAGAAATCTCAACAACGTGCGATAACCCAAAAACGAAATTTAGACCGGAACTGACGCTTTTCAGGAGAACCAGAACAAAACACCTCGGCCATAAAAATGTCAAGTGACCAACAATGGCTTAGAAAATAAACGTCAATCAATCAATACTGGAAACAGTATATGAAAATTACCAATGACAACTAATACTATGTCTTCTTTCGACCGAATATCACCCATAATATTTAGCATTAATATTTACCTGGAATCTCCACGTGGATGACACGATTGCAAGACAGCTGGTCGAGCGTCCTCGTCCAGTGGCAAAACTGTACGGACGTTGGCTCTCCTCACGGTGACTTCCATCGTAAGGTAAAACAGTCTGGGATCACGGTGCCTCATTCGGTACTTGTTCAGGAGATTCTGCACGACTTCGCGACAGGTCGTCTCGTAGGTGATGCTGAGGGTCTTGTACTCGATGTCTGGTCTCAGGCAGTTGGCGTAGACCTTTATGGTGGTCTGTAAATAGAAGCAAAGAGACGAAATTAATTAGCCGCACGACACCAGGCGAAAGAGGATCTGGTCGCAGACTGGCGTGGAAATCCTTTATCCAGTGTGAGCCGCCATGTTTTTCGTGGGGAAATAATTTCTTCGTTACAGAGAAACGCAGAGCGAGCGAGAGAGAAGATCGGAAGAAAAAAAAACAACCAAAGCGTCGGCTCTCTTGATGTCATCGATGACTTCCTCGGAAGGAACCCATGGCTGCTGCCCCTGTCGGCAGTGTCGCGCAGTGTTTGTTTTCTTGGAAGTAAAATAAAAGAAAAAAAAAATTACGAGTATACGGGTAGCGGTGACGATGAGGGGGACAGGGGGGAATGAAACGAGGAAAGAAGTGGATGGTTACTAGACGAGGTTAGAAGAAACGAAAAGGATAGATAATACGAAAAACCAGCATGGCGACCGAAACACTCGACGATTCGTCCCATAATTAACCGTTACTAAGGCAGACGTTACCACGCGACGGCATAAAACCGTATCAACCCCCTTCAGATATGCAAGACGGAGGGGGTCGAAAGGACTAAAATATCACGTAGGACAAGACGCCAGAATATAGCACGGTAGGTATAGGACTTTTCCCCCTGCCGTATCGTTACCCAGAAACACGTGTTTGCTCAGTCTGTTTACAGACGTCGCGCCACTTCCGAAAACATACGTAAAATACCTAACCTATAATACCGAAGAGCAACCCCTATTCGATTGTTAATTTCCCTCTTTTTCCCTGTAACTAACTAGTCCCCGGGAGTTTTTCGTGTAATCTCGTCATTCCCCGAACGTGCCAGTTTACTCGATTTAACGTTCAAGGTGTTTTAACGCAGACACCCGTTATTTGGGGTAGAGAGTGAAGAGAGGGGTTGTTTTATGGTCCATGGCAATTTTCACTAATGGGGATAAGACTGTATTTGGCAGGGAGCGAGTAACACGTGTTTACATGGTTAATTAGGGGATATGGATTTTCCACCCTAAAATACGTGTCAAGCTTAAGCATTGTGTGTTCGCCTTAATATTTATTTTAACCTTAATTCGTTAGGGATGATTATTAACGGTAATAGGGTATAACGTAAATTTTCGTATAACGATGCCTACGTTCACGTGGAACATACCCGAGAGCAATGTCTTACCGTGTAAATTCAAGCCGTGTCTCCATAAAGCAGCTGGCGATTGTCGATTGCGATTTCGCCTTTCCTTTATCTCGCAGACTTATCCACACCCGTTTCCAGCGACCAGGTAGACAGGCTTAACGAACCGGCATGGTAATCCGGGAAATATCGACGAAAGAATCAGCTCGTAACTTTGTAGTCGGCCATTTTCAATTGAGTTCCTTTGGCCGCCGCCGACGTCGTCGTTGTCGCGAGAGTGGGAAACTTTATTTCCGCGAACAACGACAGTCGACTGTACGTATGTAGGTATAAGTAGGCGTTATAATCCGTACACAGGCGTACCAACCGCAAATCTTGATTTCTGATTCACCGTTGAATTCCAATGCAGTTACCACTCTTAATATTGACGCGGAAACTTTGTATTATTACATTGTGATAAGAAATAAGACGTGATAAAGTTAGCTTTTTGTCACTTTCACGTCAATCGGGACGAGTAACGTCATTTGTGGTTTTTATTTATCTCACATACAAACATTGCCATCTCTGGCATCGGATTTTTATGGAGTTGACTTTCTTTTTTTTTTTAATAAAAGGTAAATGAGAAGACGTAAGCACGTGTAAGCGTATACGGTAAATCGACAAACAAACGAGCATCAACGAGTGTCATGGCCGCCTGGTACTCGTCAGTTCCGTCTAAGAGACGACATCCGGTATAGCCTAGCTTCCAATATCTTACAGCCGGCTTTACAGCACGAAAATATAATGCCGGTTATTTTCGTAAAGGTGTTTTTTGGGTTAAAAGCACCGCGACGTAGTTGCATCTCAAAACAATAACACCTTACATCGTGCAACCAGTCCGCGAGGTTCATTGGATTTTAACCCTAACCTCCAAGTCCATTTAATCGTAATCTTTCAAGTTTTAGCAAAACGTTTTAACTCCCAATCAAATTTCGAAACGTGTACCCAGACTCGACTTTTAAAAATAATCAATGCACCCCGTTAGTCGCGTGCTCACTGGAGTATCGCCTTACTGACACCGTACAAAAAAAAGCAAGAGCATTCTGTGTCTGGTTGAAAAAAAAAGTTAAACAAACACAAAAAAAAAATCCGAACAAGAATCCCGAAGATGGATACAGAGAATTTCCGGAAATTTTAAAATATCAGGAGGCGCTACAAAATAAATAAGGGTGAAAAATAAAAAAAGAACTGCAAGGGTCGAACTCTCGCGACTTCCATATGTCGACGTGAACCCCATAAAATCTCAGGCGTTACGTATGTACATACGATCCCTGAGTGTCGGCGAATCCATAAAACAGCAAAAAATGCTCACGTGGGGTCCACATTTCGTGACCGCAAGTATTTTCAGGCACTTTGAGGTTTTCGAATTAAAGATAGAGTCTCTCATCGTTCACACTAGCTGTCTTTCCCTTTGACGCTGCCCGTCATAAACTCTCTCTCTCTCTCTCTCTCTCTCTCTCTCTCTCTCTCTCTCTCTC